AGTGTAGATTATAAAACTTTTTTTGAAGATAAAATCATCGTTATAACAATATATGAAAGCAAAATATATTTCGTATTTTTTTATTTTTTTTAATGTGTATTTCATAGCCTACATTTTTTTTAAATTTTAAATCGTAGATACATATATGACAAATAAAAACCAATTAAATATATGTTAATTAGATATATTTATGTAAATATCTTCGTTGGTGATTACTTTGATAAGGCCCGACACTGTCTATTATTAATATGTATATCTACAAAAACCTGAGACCAATAATATTTCTTATATAATATCTATAAGTATCATACACTTCAAATCCTTCCAGTTTTTTTCTGATGGCGATTGTTCATATATTAATATTGATAGTTATGAACTGTCTGTTTATCTTGATACTTCCTAAAAATTTCGACACAAAAGCGCTTATACAGGGCAGGCCAAATGAGGTTTTTAAACGCAATTTCATCGAGTACAAGGTTAAAAACGATATAATCTTATTACACATGTTATTACTAGTTTCCTTCCTAGTTCCTTATTTTTTTTATCAGTCACATTATTTAATTACTTTTGTTTAAGACATTAAAAAATGACATGCTTTATTTTTTTAGCCCTGCAGTATCACAGTCTATTCATGCTGTAGTATATCAGCCAGTCGAATTACGATGATTTACATGTAACTCTACATACATACCTACTAATATGCGTGGTGCATTTCAGTTGATTACAAAATATTCCGACCGCAGCGCTGTATACGGCAGAAATCATAAACTTTCGCTATGTATTTCAACGCCGTTCCTGTTACAGTTAACGTTGATTGCATTAATTATTATTAATTAATTATTTATTAGATTAAAATAATATTGAAATCGTGGCGTTGTCATAATATTTAAATATTTTAGTGTCTTGCTAGTACAGTTATTGAAACTATAAAATACTCAGGTTCGAGGTTTGTGTGGTGTAAAAAAGTTTCGGGTAGTTCGGGTAGTAAAAAATAAATGAAAAAGAATCCGTACTAGGCGTCGCACGGTGGGGTATTAGCATGAAAAAGGGGATCGAAATTCGAAAAAGCAAATGTGTTTAAGATTTCCCAAAAAAAGATAAATGATAAGTTAAATCATCTCTGCCATGAATGGCTTTGCTATGGGTGTGTTTAGTTGCATTCATTTGTTTCAACGAAACGTCAAAGTTGTTACTTCTCACGGATAAGAGGTAAATTGCTAAATTTTATGTTTAAAATTATAAATTGTTGTTGTTCTTGTGCTCTTTTTATGTTTATATTATTGTTTTGATTGAAAATGGCTCAGCAAGCTGCAGGTATGTATTCTACATACACGTATTAAGGTGCGTATTCATTATCCGAACGAACGAACGAACGAACAAACGAACGAATGAAAGTGCGGTATATTTAGACGAGGACCGAACGCATGCGGCCGATCGTTCGTTCGTTCGCTCGACCATCCGTTTCGAGTCGGTACATCAAAGGCGTTCGCCAACAAATGCCTCCGGTCTTCTCGTGCGGTCCTGTCGTGCGGTCCCCGTCCATACCACTAGCGAACATTCGTTCGTTCGTTCATGCTTTTTTTTCACGGTAATGGTGTTCATATATTAATATTGATAGTTATGGCTGTCTGTTATCTTGATACTTCCTAAAAATTTCGACACAAAGCGCTTATACAGGGCAGGCCAAATGAGGTTTTTAAACGCAATTTCATCGAAGTACAAGGTTAAAAACGATATAATCTTATTACACATGTTATTACTAGTTTCCTTCCTAGTTCCTTATTTTTTTATCAGTCACATTATTTAATTACTTTTGTTTAAGACATTATAAAATGTCATGCTTTATTTTTTTAGCCCAGCAATATCACAGTCTCTTCATGCTGTAGTATATCAGCCAGTCGAATTACGATGATTTACATGTAACTCTACATACATACCTACTAATATGCGTGGTGCATTTCAGTTGATTACAAAATATTCCGACCGCAGCGCTGTATACGGCAGAAATCATAAACTTTCGCTATGTATTTCAACGCCGTCCCTGTTACAGTTAACGTTGATTGCATTAATTATTATTAATTAATTATTTATTAGATTAAAATAATATTGAAATCGTGGCGTTGTCATAATATTTAAGTATTTTAGTATAGTAGTATTTAAGTATTTTAGTATATTTAATTATTTGTATTGTGTATTTTTTGTTGTTTGTATTTTTTTGTGATTTTGTTGTTTGTGAGTGCTTTGTCGATGAAGCTGTTTTGGCTTTTTGCACAATAAAGCGTTGTGTGTTTGTTGTTGTTAGTGTCTTGCTAGTACAGTTATTGAAACTATAAAATACTCAGGTACGAGGTTTGTGTGGTGTAAAAAAGTTTCGGGTAGTTCGGGTAGTAAAAAATAAATGAAAAAAATGAAAAAAAAATTTTTCATTATTTTAACTCACACACAAATCCCGTTAAACCATAAAACTTTCTAAAAGCAGGATACATGTCTAACTGAAATAATTCAAGTACATTTTCATTAAAAAATGTATCAGGAAAATAATTTAATTAGATAATGCAAAATTTATTTTTTATTTTGTTTCATCTTCAGTATTTTCAATACACAGGGTGTTTTCTACGACGTTCTCTATGGGTTTCTCGAAAACTACTGCAGATAGAGAGTCGGTTAAATGAGGAAAGAATTGCAGTTTTGAGAGGTCATAAATATGCGCCTTTCAGATTTTTGAAAAAGTTCATGGATTATTAGATATTTCGAAAAAAAAACTTTGGCTATTTTAAAAATTGTCCCTAATTCCATTATAGTCTATTTTAAGTTTTAAAATAGCCATTATTTTTTTTTACGAAATATCTAGTAAGCGATAAACTTTTTCAAAAATCCGAAAGGCGCATATTTATGACTCCCACAAAACTGCAATTCTTTCCCCATTAACCGACTCTCTATTTCCAGTACCTTGTTTCCGAGATACCCATAGAGAACATCGTAGGAAACTCACCCTGTATAGTATTTTGAAACTAACTATTATTATTATTTGACTAGTTTAATTTGATTAATAAGACTAGATTAATTTAATTTCAAATAAATTTGATCAGATTTTTTTTCGTATATTCTGCTACCAGAAAACCAAGATTATATGATAACGCACTTTTCAACGAAGTTGAAGGAAGATATAGTGTATCTATCACAATACTTAATAGAACTACTACAATTACAAGAAAAACAAAAAAAAAGAAATACCCAAATACCCCTTCAGCCACTACTCAATTACAGAATAAACGAATATAATCTCTTAAAAACACTACACAACTACTTATTCTTGTATTCTACACTGAACAAATTATCAATTTGATTACTAATTTATCAAACAAAAAGAAAAAATAACAAAATTATCACTTCACCTACTACTTAACTACAAAATAAACTATAAAAACAATACTAAACTATTTTTTGGTAGACTACACTAACATGCTACACTAAACACTATAATATAAATTAATCTAATTTTACCCTACAACTGCAAAGAAAAAAAAGAAATAAGAACATTTTCTAAAACTAGAAGAAACAGAACTTCCATACGTGCCACCAGGATAATAGGTCATTAGTGCCATTAGCAGTATAGCACAATTTGGCATTAGTAGCGACTTTAGTGGTATGGGCATTGCTCGCGGATCAGTCGTAGCATTAGTAGTAGTAGTTGCGATATTACTACTGGCACTGACCGTGGAAACACTGGAACAGTGATTTTTCTTTCTTTTTTTAGAATCGACGAATTATCCTGTATTTTGTTCATATTATTTCCTCTAATTGAAAATAGCAATAATTTATATAAGGTCTACATAAAAAAATTTCGATCAACTATCAGTGTCAAATACCCCACTGTGCGTCGTGTTGTTTTGTGACAATTTCAAATGTTAATAAAATTGCCGAAAAAATGTTAACGCGTAAAGGAAGGCGTAATTAGGACGTTGTTGGGTGCAATATAATTCAATAACTCAACTTTTCCGGATATTCAATAATAATATTATTTGAAAAGTATTAGAAGGATATATAAACAAGGGTATTAGTAACTGCAATTTATGCAAACTACCTAAAAAAAACAATTTGATATCTTCAGAAGGTTTAACGTATATTGTAATTATTACTCAAGCTAATAAAACTTTTTAGATTAGTATAACACAGGTGGCAGGTAAAGAGCGAGTACTCAAAACTAGCCATGTCGACTGGCTGTTTAATAAATACACTGTGGCAATGTTGAATTTTCTTCAACTTTTGTATCTACTATAAAACCGTGATATTTCCTTGTTAGTTTAACATACTATATGATATTTTTAATCTCTAATTTAAGTATTACCAGAATATTCTAATAAGATTGCGCATAATCAAAATAACCGCACTTAATTTTTTTCCATGCGACAACGTTGCTCTTTTAATTTAACTTAAAATACTATATCGTACTGTTTGAATAAAAAATTGCCACCAACTGAACAAAAAACTCCACCTAATAGGCAAAACGGACAATCTACTTATATATAGTGACTTTTTTGTGAACGGAATTTAGGACATCCTGTACAGACCGCCCGCATGACCTTGACTTTACTTTGCAGATTTATATATTTTTTTCTAATCGTTATTGTTTCGTTATTATACACCCACTTGACTGAACTGAAATTATGAAAAAAAAATCCAAAAAACTGGTCTAGGGCGCACCTTTTTTATTTCCGCATCCTTCCGATATTTTTAGTCAACCTTTCAACTTTTTTATGTTTTGGTAACTTAAGTTCACTTATAAAATTTATTTCTTTGATAGGATAAACCTCGATGAATTTTACAAGCAACACATGAACGATAATAATAATTATTATAGATTATAGCGTATATTTTTTGTTTAGGCACAAGAATAATTTAAGTTGCTCAATCAAGGATATGCAACCAGAAATACACAAATTGGAGTACGTCAACATTTTTTCTTTCACAACGTGGACCAATCAAAAATCGCCAACACTGACAATTCAAAATCCTCAAAATTGCTTTTTGACAAGCGGCATTTAAATCTGTGATTTAAATTATTTTGATTCTAGTAGGCAAATTGTTAGAAATTCAGATATTTTTGAGCCAAAAATAATTAATTCGGTTCTTTCGCATTAATTTCCGATCTTGTTTTATTGATAACCTACTGATATATTTTAAGATCAAGAAGTTACCTATTCTAACCTAAAGCTTGTACATTTTCGCTTTTCTAATTCCTTTTTTTAATAAAAACTCTCATAGTATGGAGTTTCCAGGCTTTATTTTAGCTGTATTGTTCTGTGCTATTTCCGTCCAAGCTTTAAAAGAAGGGGAATGCGAAGGTATGTTGTTTATATATTTAGATATTTTTTGGAATTAAAAAACATTTTTTTTTCAGTTTGTATCAAGGTTTTGGACAAATTTCGAAATACATTATCCGATGATGTTCTTAAAGACCATAAAAAAATAGAAAAAGAATTCAAATCTTTTTGTAAAGATTTAAAAAACAAGGAAAATCGTTTCGTCAGTACTTCATTCCATAAACATATTGAAAAATATTTTAATACTTATTTTCTTTAGTGTTATTACCTGGGAGGTCTTGAAGAGTCTGCCACCGGTATTCTAGGTGAAATGTCCAAACCTATGTCGTGGTCACTGCCTTCGGACAAAATTTGTGAAAAATTGAAGAAAAAAGATACTCAAATTTGTGAGTTGCGTTACGATGTTCAAATCGATTTGAAAACGGTAGACTTAAAGAAGTTGAAAGTAAGGGATTTGAAGAAGATTCTGAATGACTGGGGTGAGGACTGTGAAGGATGCATTGAAAAAAGTGAATACTTGAAAAGGATAGAAGAATTGAAACCAAGGCACACTGAATTGTAATATTAGTGATTTTTTAGTGATTTGATTTATAAAAAGGACTAATATGGCAAATATAAAATTAAGAAAAAGTCACTGTTAAGGGTAAAAGATACCTTAAAATTTGATAACTCTTCTTTTAGATTTTCTTTATACAGAAGCTGATCGATCTACTTATCTGTAATAGGTAAATTATGTTTTAGTTTTTAAGAAACTATTTATATTTATAATAAAAAAAATTCTTTATTTTTAAGTGTTTTATTTATTTAATGCACAGTGTTTTCAGAGATATTTAGTGCAGGCTACCTATTATATAAAAAATATACAGGAAGGCGCCTCTCATACGCGTACGCGGCGGAAGCTCCCAGGAGAACGGTAGTTTATATCGAAGTTAAATTTTGGCAGCATATGTAGGTTAATTAAAAGCATTATATAGAATTATCAAAATATATAGAATTATACAAGGTGTCCCCAAAAAAAGTTACACATCAAAGTTGTGTTTTTTCTAAAGGAACACCCTATATATTAATTGATTTTCGTATTCTAGGAAAAAAATAAAGCTGAGTTTTATTCAAGAAACATATACCCATCATATACCTAAAATGTCAGGATTTTGACATAAGTATTTCACATTTTGTGAAAATGAAGAGTAAATTTTAAATTTCGATAACATGCAGCTACCTAAATTTTAGTGAACCTTGTATAGCCTGATAGGTATTTAATTACAGTAACCATTGTATGTTAAACCAAATTGAAATTTGACCCGAAAAGATATACAGGGTGAGACAAAATTAATGTATGGAACATAGTCACTTTTAAAAGCAAGTTATTCCTTTATTTTAAATGGAACACCATGTATATTTTTCCAGTGTTCAATGGGGAATATATCTTCAAAATATTATTAAGGTTGCCTACCCATCATACAAAGATTTTCCTAGATATTTTAATTTTTATGATTTTGCGTCAGTAGATCTTTATTATTTGGAAAAATATCTAGGTGGCTGTGTGATATATCTTTTGTTAATTTGACAAAAATTCAAGATTGTCGAGTAAAATACTCAACGGTAATAAAAAGATACACGTTTAAAACATATTTTAATTATTACAGAATTAAAACTAGATATAAACCTATAATTATGTGATAAAAATTAGCTAGATGAAATAAAATGATCAATATGCTTCCTTTCCTGTTAACTGCATAAAATGATTGTCTTTTCAAAAGCATCTTATCATTTTAAAAGGCATAATATGTGGAGGTCTACCTCGAGCTACAATCATTTCTCTCATGTTGTCGACAATAGTTGGTCGAGTTTTGTAAACACTGTCTTTAACATACCGGGTGCGTCAAAAGTGGCTGACCCCTATAACTTTTTTATTTTTTTAGAAAAAAAAAACGAGATTTGTTATGTTAGTACATGACATAAATCACAAAACATCCCCCTTTAGAACTTCGTCTGTCATGTTAAGAAATGAAAGTAAATAATAAAGCGCCTCTCGTGTTTGTTCGCACTCAAAAAATTTCAATTAATGCCTGTATATATTTTAATATATTTATTAAATTTACATTTTTTTAATTGTAAAGTAATATATTACATTTAAATGGAATATATTACATAACAATTATGTCAATTACAGGATTACAAGCTTGTTTTCTAACATTTTTTAAATAAAACGAATTATAAAATTTCAATATATGTATATTTGTCGTAGGTATGAAAAAAGTAAAATATAAAATGGACAAGCAACTACTTACATTGCAATAAAACTTCCACTTTTAGTTTTGTAATCCAAACGCAATATTTCTATTTCACAAATAAAAATATCCGACAACACTAAAATCACTGAAACTTCCGCGGCTGACAACGAAAACTGATAAATATAACGGCACTTTTTGTCTTGGACCTGCATATCAACATTACGCTGTACTATTATGTGTTTGTTGTTGAAATAATATAAAATATCTAATTATAACTTGTAAATTTTAATATTTTAACATGATTTTAACTACTTTTGACAATAACTAACTTTTTGTTATCAAGATGACATTTTAGACGGCAACTGACATATATGTCATGATATTTGAATCTTTAATATGTATGTAATATAATTTGAATATGTAATATAGTATGTAATATAATTTGAATTACTATAATGCAACTTTATACTAAGAAAACATTTATACATTCACAAAATACAACAAAGTCTAATAATATAGTTTGAAAACAATGAATATTGAATTAAAATTGAAAAAGTTAAGCCCGACCCCTTGTGTCAAAATTAGAAGATTAAATTTTCGCAATTTTTACACCATTTGATGACCGGTGGCGCCTCTAGTGTTTGTTCGGGCGGTTGGGCTTTTACTCCCGCTTATGGCCATTAAAGAAAAAGTTCTAAAGGGGGATGTTTTGTGACATAAATTAGGATTGATTGACGTTTTCAATTGTTTTCGGTCACTTCCGGTTTCACCAGAAATGACTACAACTTTTGATTTTTAAATAACACCCTCGGTATTTTTTTACTTTATTCGATAGAAAATGACATTCTAAATAGAATCTGGGGTGACATGGCTATGTTAAAAACACTAATTCTTCGTCAAGGGATCAAGGAGCTGGGGAATTGATATTGGAAATAATTCAGATAGAGTTGGGCCTATTTTAATTCTTGCGGAACAACTGCAGTAAAGTTGCTGTACCGCTTTTATTAGTGTTATATTTATTGGACTTTTTTCGAGAACTTCCCATCTACAGAAAACTACATCTACTGGAAAATAACTTCCATAGTTGTCTCTATAGTAGTTTTTTCTTCAGTATAGGTATAAATACAATATTATGAAGGATATTTTGTTTTTTCTGTGTTTACATAATTCAGATACAACACCTAGGCTAGGTGACTAGGTGGTATAGTCTGTCCATGGGGAAGATCCCTGACAGTGACAATTGTATCTGTTATCTAAATTCATTGGCAAATTTTGAATGTCGTCTGTCGAAATCATCCCTGATTCGTGGGACAGACTTTAGAACGTTTAAATTAAAAGAATGCTTTATCTTGTTTTATTTTTTTATTTCCTCATCATTCAGATCTAGTTACATGAAATTACATGTAGGTACCTACTTGAAGTTCTTGGTTGATCACATCATAAATACCTAGAATATCATAAAATAAGGGGTTGTCATAGTCTGTCTGAATTAAGAAAACTACATAGTGCAATTCATTCATACAATCTTAAAAATCAGCATTGGTTTTTAGTATTTTGTTGGTCTTAAAAATACCATGGCGTAGAGTCCCTATATAGAGGTAATGGAGACAATAGTCCATCAAAAAGATTCATTCAAAAAAAAATTAAAATCCAAATTTGAATTTTAGTAAATAGCACTATAAATATATTGTACCCTTATTGTAATTTATGATAGTAAATAGTTACTAAAATTACAAAATTTATAATTAGTAATGGAATTTTAACAATTAATATATACTCTTCAGATTCTTATTAATTTAATGAAAAAACAATGCTATACAGGGTGTCCCAGAAATAAGTGCAAGTATTTTAACTGGTAGTATAGCTCAACCCCAGAAACACGCCTATGACGTTTTTTTCGCAAAAAAAATTGAAAATTCGAATTTTTTTTGAAAAAATTTTTGCAAATTTTTTAAATTTTTAGTTAAAAAATATAATTTCTTGATAATATGGCAACATATGTATTAGATTAAATTTACAAGAAAGAAAATCCAGAAAAAAATCCAGTTGTTCTTAAAATTTTAGCAAAAAATCATTTTTTTTGGAAATTTTCAAAGTAAAATAACTCCGTTATTCTGGACTTATTTGAAAAACGATAAAGAGAAATTATGTTTCTTTTGTCTAGATCTACCACCCCTTAAAATACTTGCATTTATTTCTGGGACGCCCTGTATATACGGGGTTTCATTAAAAGATCGTTGAAGATTTTCAAATTAGTGAAGATAACAAACATCTAAATAGTATAAGCTAATTATGTATTTTTGAAATGTAAAGCATTTTTGATAAATATAATTTGGTATGAAAGCTGTGTGGAATTTGACACAAATCTATAGCACCATGGACCAAAACATTTATCTAAAACTCTGGAACTAAAAAATTATTACAGTTGGGTATTGGAACAGCAAAATAAAACACTAATTCACCACAATACACCAAAACACTTTACTTTTGCAATGGACGCTTTTGCACGGAACTATATGTTAACATCATCAGCAGATGATTAAAACTCGTCTAGTGGAAAAGTGTTTTGATGTATTGTGGTGAATTAGTGTTTTATTTTGCAACTAAAAGATCACTAGAAATTTGTAGTAGCGTTTCTTAAAGATTTTTTAATGACACCCTGTATAAAAAATTAAGATCTAATAAATTTCCGCGTATCACATTATTTTCAAATAATACCAAAAGTATGTTTCAGTTATTTCAAAAATTCAAATACAATTTTTCTTGTTTCTTTGTCATTGTTTACGATGTAGATGTAAAAATCAGTCTAAATTTGATAAAACGGTTCTTTAGTGAACTATTTATTTAGTCGCCCAATCAGGGAATACGTCCAGGTCCCAGATCAAACCTCCTAGCCATGGGTAGAGGAGGAACAAGGTTCCCAGTGACACTACGACTACTCCTAGTCCAGCTTTAGTCATTTCCTTGGATGGAATGTTACAAGCGGTTTCTGCAATGGCCATTGGTGGTGTTGAAACTGGTAAACAGTAGGAGAAAGAACATCCGAGAGTAGCCGGCATCATAAGATACATTGGATGTATTTTAGCTACCTGTAAAATATACTATAATATACCGTATGATCGAAAAAAAAACGGCGTCCAGTTGGCTGGGAAATGAACATCAATGACATTTCCCATATAAATTTACATTTAAAATGACAGCGATCTTCATTCCATAGCCATCGCTGACGCCGTTTTTTCTCGATCATACGGTATTATCAGCACTATAATAATTAACGAATAATTTTGATTAGGGATAGGAAGCCCACTTTATAATAACTGGACATTGATATATAGAAACACGTCTTAAGAACATTTCGTATTAATGCAGTTAAAATATCTCGTGTATGCTAACTTATAATGTGATGCTGTATACCAAATTCGATTTAGATGTCCCAGACCTGTCTAATTTCCCTGTAATAGGTACGCAATTAATTATTGATTTTTTTTTCAAAATTTCAACCCCTCTGTATTTTTAAAATATAAATGCTGTTTCCATGGAGCGGACCGTCCCACGGTGGGGTATTAGCATGAAAAAGGTGATCGAAATTCGAAAAAGCAAATGTGTTTAAGATTTCCCAAAAAAAGATAAATGATAAGTTAAATCATCTCTGCCATGAATGGCATTGCTATAGGTGTGTTTAGTTGCATTCATTTGTTTCAACGAAACGTCAAAGTTGTTACTTCTCACAGATAAGAGATAAATGGCTAAATTTTATGTTTAAAATTATAAATTGTTGTTGTTCTTTGGCTCTTTTTACTTTTATATTATTGTTTTGATTGAAAATGGCTCAGCAAGCTGCAGGTATGTATTCTACAAAAACGTATTATTTATTTTGATATTCTCTATACTAACGATTTTTTTTGCAACTAAAAGTTAGGCGTTCAGAAAATTTGATTAAATTTGTGACATTTTTATTATACTTAGAGATTTAGTTGCGCATTTCGAAGAATTCAGCATATTGTCTATATACGTTTTACTTAGTAAACATTGGGCTTTCATAGAGTAATATAAAATACTGCGACTTTTTGCGACTTTGCTGATAAAATGAGAAAAACATTCTGGGTTTCCTCTAATTTGCCAATCAGTGATATACTAATGCGAGGTGTAAACCGCGATGGCATTGTTGTGTACAAAGCGATCGCATTAGTGCCATTAGCAGTATAGCACAATTTGGCATTAGTAGTATTAGTTGCGATATTACTACTGGCATTAGTGGCATTGACCGTGGAAACACTGGAACAGTGATTTTTCTTTCTTTTTTTAGAATCGACGAATTATCCTTTATTTTGTTCATATTATTTCCTCTTTAATTGAAAATAGCAATAATTTATATAAGGTCTACATAAAAAAATTTCGATCAACTATACTTGTATTCATTTAAAACTTCCCAATATGGCGGACTTCAGTATGGGAGGCTTAAAAAACGAAAATCTCTAGACTGGAATCGACTGTAGTTCAAATCGTTCAAATTGATAATCTGTGGTAAATCCAATTGAACTCTGACACTTAGCTGACATTGACATCACACTGACGTTTACAGTTCCTTTTTCTAAATATTTTCATTATTTTTTTGAGAGATTTTATTCACAATTTCTACTTGATTTTGTTCTTTGTGCAGCCTGGCAGTACTAATTATATAGTTATAAGTTATAAATAATCTTTTTCACCCGATCAAGAACTGAGGAATAGGCTGGAAGATATTCAAAATAGTAATGAAACGCTTAAAAACGTATTAGAAAATGTGGACTCGTCCACAAATTCGTGAAAATAAATTAGTCCAGATGTTTGTAAAAAGGTCTCTAATTATTTTGAGAAGTTTCCTCGTATCAGTAATTTTCAGGTTTGTAATATGTATATGATAATAAATAGATTAAAACTTATATTTCAGGAAACAGCGTGGGCATTACAGATGGTTGTAAATCAGTTTTAAAATATAAAGAAGGTTTAAAACTGGTTTAAAAGTTGAGTTAGTAGAGAAGACCTAAATAAGGTAATGTTGGTAATGACCAAAGATCAAATAACACTTGAAATATATAATTTGTACAATAATTGTAAGTAGTTTTTATGAATCTGTTTGATATCTATTGCATTGTTTTTACATATTTCTTGAAATATATATTTTTTTACTTTATAGGATACACAAAGAATAATAAAAAATACAGTTACTCACTAAAAGCAGAAGGTTTGTAATAGATGTAGTTAGAATATCAAACACCAAACCAAACCAAAAATTATGTTTTATTTTACTGGTATTCCTCACATTTGAAAGGAAAGTAATTTCATAAATAAGCAGAAGGACATTGTATAGTACACCCTATATTAATAATTTTTTTATTCTATACTTGTTAGTTGACCATTACTTACTAGGTACAAAATTTAGTACTGATTCCAAACCTATAGTTGTGGTTGTGACATATTCTGATGTGTTTCTGGCAATTTAAAATAAGTTAATATTTAAACAAACATTTCTGGCTTTCCTGACAGGAGTATGAACACAAATTTAATAAAGGTATAATGTGGATAATGTTCTGATTATTACAGTTTGCATGGATGTTTTTGTATGTTGTTATTGTATAAAGTATATTTAATGAGTTTTTGAGTATTTCTTTTTTCCTTAGAGGATTGTGTTCTAATCTTTATATATAAATTTTCATAAATTATATCTACAAAATTTATTACCTTATAACTTTTTGCTAAAGACTTTGTAGTTGATACAGTTTAACAGTATATAAAAGAACTATTTAAATAAGATGTTTGAAAATATATATCTGTTTTTGCACACATCAATTCAATTTGTGATTAACTGTACTGAAATAAAAACAAATTAAGAGAAATCAGGTGATCTATAAACTGTTTTTTTTTTAATATGAACCATGTGATCTCTAAACTATAACATGAAACGCATCATCCTATTTCCAAGTCTTCTATTAATTTCACTTATTAAACAACTATAATTATTCAATAATCTTGATAATTCTATGAACTCTCAGATATCGTCAAAATATGAAAACAAAAATTCACTTCCTATAGTTCTTACGTCCCTTTAACTGAAATATAAGAAACAGGGGAGTTAATATTCTCACTGAGAAAGTTTATAAAATACCTTTAAGTAAAATCTCTTCGAATCTGCTGTAAAATACCTTTATTCTTATTAAATAATTTCAATAATCTATGTTTTATTTTTGACTACCACCTAATAACCTAACTTTAACGTCAACTTGACAATCCTGAAAAATGTTATTGTTAACCAAAGACTAAATCAATTTCTTAATTCGCTAAAGCCAACTTATTTTTCATTAAAAAAAAATTACCAATTTTCCTAACTAGGTCGGCCATATTGAGGAACTTTTAAAAGAATTGTACTATATCTGTGTCAAATACCCCACTGTGGCGTCCGCGCGGATCGTGTGTATTTTTAAGGTCCGACGGAGTACATTAACCTATGGATCGTCTGTTGATTAAACAAGTACCATTGGTTTATATGAATATTTTCACATGAGCGCGGATGATCCGTTGAAGCAAGGGCTCGAAGGATGGCCGTCGGACAAAATCATCCGGACGGATCATCCGCGTCATGTGAAAATTGTTGGTAAACATATTTTACAATGATGATATAAATACGAAAAACAGAATTCTTTATAGAGCGCCACCATCCAGCAATCTTGATAACTATTTTAAAATAAAGTAGTACAGGTTAGTACAGTTTATGACAAACAAGCAACGTGCGCGTTTCATTTCGTGTTTTTCTACAGTATTTCTATTCAAAACAAGTTTAAAAACCTCTCAAATTTTATCAAAAATACTCTTATAACGTGAAACAGCACTCATAGTCTAAGAGCTAGCAACGTTTTCGAGGAAGTGTTTTAAGACGTCTGGCTCTTTGATATATCTATTACTATGCTCTCTGAAACAGCATGCGGCTCGTCTGGCTGCCGATACCCGTTGCGTTCACTACTGCGCATCGGAAGAAGAACCTATTTTTTTTTAATTTAGTCCTATAAATTCTAGTATTGAATATAAATCGAACATGTCTCCATAGCGCAGTGCGTAGAGTTTCCGACTACGAACCGAGGATTCAGAGTTCGAATCCGGGTCAGGGCAAAGACGTTTTTATTTTATTTTCGTTTATATTCTGATAGTAAAGTATTAAATAATTCTGATGATAACAAATGCAATAAACAAAAATAAAATATCCTTTGCCCTGACCCGGATTCGAACTCCTCGGTTCGTGGTTGGAAACTATACGCACTGCGCTATGGAGACATGTTCGATTTATATTCAATACTAGAATTTAAAGGACTAATAAAAATATAGGATTTTCTTTCAATGCACAGTAGGGAACGCAACGTTTACCGGCAGCCAAACGGGTCGCATGCTGTTCTAGAGAGCATAATAAAAGATATATCAAAGAGCCAGACGTCTTAAAATACTTGTTTTTCCGACGTTGCTAGCTCTCGTACTATCAGTATTCTAAGATATAGAGGGTGTTTCTTAATGTCATGCTAATATTTAAGGGGGTATTCTAAGAAAAAAACTTATTCATATGAATGTATGTCCTAAACATCTTAACTTTTCAGATACAGGGTGGTAAAATTTTCGATTCTTTTTTAAAAAAATATCTCTGATGTTTTTTTTGGCACACGTCTTCTACGCATCAAAATGCATATTTTGATATACAAAAAAAACGTTTTATTTCTTAATTAATTTTCTTCCAACCGACGCAGAAACGATTTCCACGCAACAGTCACCGGATCAGATTTTCAGCGATTTGACCCTAAAGTAAACTGACTTTAATTTTTTTAAGCAAAAACTATGCATCGGATGAAAAAATCCATTTGTATTGGAGATAAAAATTATTTAGAAATGAATGGAGATTTTGAAAGAATTTTTATTTTAAGAGAAGTCATCAGTGATGTACCAATTTTTTCTTCAAACATATTCAATGTAAAACCCGTATGAACGGCACTGGTTGAATTCAATAAAATTGTTTTTGTACATCAAAAAAGATATTTTGATGCATAGAAGACGTGTATCAAGTTTCATAAAGATACCTCTGTAATAAATAAAATCAGAGTTATTATGTATCTCAGAAATTAAGATGTTTAGGATATACATTCATATGAAGTTTTTCTTTAAGAATTGGTCCAAGAATCACCCTCTTAAATATTAGCATGTCATTAAGGAATACCCTGTATACTCTATACGTAGTGAGTCTTAAATAATGCAATGTCTTCTGGGCTACTATATTTCAATAAAAAACCCCGTCTTATTAACCTCCTTTTCTAGGTGAAATTCACTATGGAAAATCATATCTAATTTACCACAAAATCATGTGATTATCACGCTGGCTTCTTAGCTAGGTCATTTTGTTGATTAATTTGTTGATTGAAGATTAAAAAAGAATATCTAAACTATGTTCGAGTAATACAAACACGCATGTTTAAGGAATATTACAAAATAATGTTATAAACTCACCGGCAAAAAAAAACCGGCCACTAAAAACTAGTCCCAATTTCAAAGTTGGATTTCTCGCGAACCACTCAATAGATTTTGATGATTTTTTTTTAAATTTTAAGTTAATCCCTTCTTAACGGATGCTATGTCAGAAATTTTTATTCCGAATTTATTTTGAGCATGTACAGGGCACAACAATAAGACGAAGTTTTTTGCCCGAACTTTGCAACAACCTGTAGGGTGCAGCAGCTGTAGTAGCTATTGCTAAATCAAATCACATTGTAGCCTCATTTTTTGTGAGCATTTGGTTTTTTTAACCACGACATTATCTCTGTTTGTATTGGAGATACGCTGCTTTAAAACGAACGTCTCGGAAAAATGCTTTGCAGGCAGAAAGTTTTATGTGGAAATAATCAAAAGGCGACATAGGCGAAAACGGATTTATGAGTATTTGCAATATGACAACAACGGTTGTCAAATTAAAAAATGCCATTATCTATGACGGATGTTGCTCGTATTGTGGCTTTAATTGAGGATGGCCGAAGTCAACGTTATGTGTCCGATACCCTGGGTATATCTCGAATAAAAGTCCAGGATACCTGGAATCGGTATATGGAAACGGGAAATTTCACCAGGCCAGTGGATTCCGGAAGAAAACGGAAGACAAATGCAATTGACGACCGCTTTATTGTCCTGAATACTTTGCGAAATTGTAGAATTACAGCGTTTCAGAATCAACATCCGCTACAAACCGTGCGTAGAACTCAAGTCAGTGAGAGAACAATCCGACGAAGACTAAAAGAAAACACCATGTCTGCAAGGATGCCTGCCACAGGACCCCAGCTACTTCCAAGACATCGCCGAGCACGTCTTCATTTTGTGCGTTTACATGTGAATTAGGATATTGAGCAATGGACTAAAGTCCTTTTCACGGATGAATCGCGGTTTTGCCTTTCCAAGACGTTCGTTTTAAAGCAGCGTATCTCCAATACAAACAGAGATAATGTCGTGATTAAAAAAACAAAATGCTCACATAAGATGAGGCTACAATGTGATTTGATTTAACAATAGCTACTACAGCTGCTGCACCCTACAGAGTGTTACAAAGTTCGGGCAAAAAACTTCGTCTTATTGTTGTGCCATGTATGCTCAAAATAAATTGGGAATAAAAATTTCTGACGTAGCATTCGCTAAGAAGGAATTAATTTACAATTTAAAAAAAAATCATCAAAATCAAATGAGTGGTTCGCGAGAAATCCAACTTTGAAATTGGGACTAGTTTTTATTGGCCGGTTTTTTTTGCCGGTGAGTGTACTTAGAAATATCCCAAAACCGCTAGGTTATGTGTTTGCTGGATATGTTGTAATTAACACACATTTGACCAAATGACTTACCAATGACATTTCAGCTAAGACAGGCAATACCACATTAGCCACGGCGACATTGCTAGAGAACTGAGTGAGGAAGGTAGCAAACATGCACGAAATCGCCATCACCCAGAATCTGGGTAACATGGCCACCCCATGGAGATGATCTGCTATCAGCTGGCTCATGCCACTGGCTTTGGACGCTTCTGCTAGAGCAAAACCGCCTCCAAGAAGGAAGATCAAGCCCCAGGGTAGTTTCTGGTGGACCACCTTAAAAAATATACACGCAAGATAGAAATATAAAAAAAAAACATAAGCTCGTAGAGAAACCAAAATGATCTTTCATTTTAAAGTTTTAATTTTTCCTTATATTTTGTCCACTTTCTTCAAAAGTACAACTGCAGTATATGATTATTTTTCTAATTTAGTTAAACTTCTATTGGTAAAACCAAAAATAGACAATCTATTTTTCATAATAATTAAAGGTAAAACTAACCTTATTGAAGTACCGTCAAAAAAAAGGCGGCGTCCAGTTGGCTGGGAAATGACGATCGACGACATCTCCCATAAGACATGATCTTCATTTCATAGCCATCGCTGACGCCGTTTTTTTTCGATCATATGGTATGTAATGAATTTTATAAAAAAAAACAGTTGTAATTTTGTACCTAAAGACAGTCTGGATATTGTGATTAAGTAAAAAATCCTTACCGTCCACGTGATCAAGGCAGGTGACGCCACTTTAGGCCTTTTTGATTCATCCCTATTAAAAATGTGAATGAAATCTGGTTTGGAGGGTATTACGAATAATAGTAAGACCACTATAAGAGCAGCTGTGGCATCTTTTACCTAAAAATAACAGAAATATGCATATAAATAAATATGTTCTTAGAATATTTTGTTAATCTTAATTTTACAAGCATTTCATAGCTTTCTCTGTTGATAAGAACGTCAGTCAAAAGAACAACAAAGATTTATAAATATATAGAATACCTAGAATTTTATAAAACATAAATATTCCATTAACATGTGAAGCAAATTTAAAATTTCTAATTTAATTATTAACTAATTGTTAGGTTCTTGGTATAAAAGAAAGAAAAAAGTGTATACTTTGTTTACAATGTAAACAACAAACAACAAATATTTTGCGACAGGGAATGATTTAGATGATGGTTATTAACACATATGATAAGGTCATAGACCGAAATCCAAACACTGTTTTTGGTTTGGCATAATGTTTCTAAACTAAGAAATTTAGAACTTAAATTTTTTTCAAAGTTATTTTTATATAATTAGATATTTTTTAAGAAAAAAGTGCATGTGTCTAAATCTGGTGTGCTTGGTGAACTGGTTCTATTCAACCAATTTTGCTACTAATTGAAAATGCCTTCCACTAATTTGGACGTGCTGAAACTTGAAACCACTAATTGCGAGGTTCTGAATGAAGCTTTAACTTTTTCTACTAATTGAAAAAGACTACCACGCAACCATTTTTGACGTTCTAAATGCTTACAATGAAATTAAAGGAACAAACTTCTACGCTAATTGAAACCACTAATTTATCCCACTAATTGCGAGGTTCTGAATGAAGCTTTATACTATAACATTATACCGTATGATCGAAAAAAACGGCGTCCAGTTGGCTTGGAAATGACGATCGATGACATTTCCCATATAATTTTACATATAAAATGACAGCGATCTTCATTTCATAGCCACCGTTGACGCCGTTTTTATTCGATCATACGGTAGTCATGACAAAAAATAATAATTACCAAACTTTGACATGTCTCGGGAATATATGTTTAACATAAAGTTAAGAACAAAAATTAAATTTTAGTTTAATATGTAAATCTAACACTATAAGCTTCTACCAGGCTTCTACTTTTTGCCATAAATTGCATTAACACGTTTTGGAAACAGTCACGCAATTGTCAATTTCAAACAATAATTGTTTTCAAGTCAAAAATTTAGGAGAATATCCATAGAATATCTGTCAATAATGTATGTAGAATTTTTTTAGAATTTAGAATGAGTGGGAGGGGGGTTAATCACTTCGACCTTACAGATCCATTGTGTCCCCCTTTCTTGAATCATAACTCATCATACAGTCCCAGGGCTTTGACAAAAGCCAGTATCTGGTACGGTTTTATAGAGGGTAGTTCTCCATCTCCAATATCAGTCGTACCAAAATTCATGGCACGAATGGTTGTCGTCTCGGCGCACTCAGTGATGAGGTGTACTAATGTATGTAACGTGTAACACTTTCACTGTTAGATTTAGAATAGTCTAGCTCAGTGGCGGTTTGTCAGGGTAGGCAAGGTAGGCGGCGCCTACCTTAAGATTTTGGCAGAATTTAAGCGGTTTATTACATTACATTATTTACTATTGATGTTGCCAATACATAAAAGTACTGTTAATACACGGAAGTGTGTTTTAATAATCAATATTATTTTAATATTTGTGGTCTTGTATATTAAAATATTCACTACAGCTGGCGTACGCTGACTATGCCGCTGCGTTAGAAAACAAAATAATTTTGACCGTTGGAAAGCCTTTGTTCGGCGATTTCTACATCGCCTACTATCAGAGTCGATGTACGGCAGTCTTCTGTCTCTGTCTAAGGCTAAAAACATAGTGGAGCGACGAGGAGAGCGGCGAGCAAGCAGCGCGACGTCGCGTCCAAGACAAACCTGTGAAGACAAGTACGCGTGAACATAGTAAAGCGATCTGCTCGCCGCTCTACTATGATTTAGCACTTCGAGGCTGGATCGACGCGATATCGCGTTGCTTGCTCGCCGCTCTCCTCGTCGCGCCACTATGTTTTTAGCCTAACTCATAGCGCGGTAGCGACGCGACGTAAGTCGGAGTTAGGCGAAATCCCCGGTCGCCTTCGCATGAAGTCGTGGAGGCGTGGAGGCTCGGTAGGCTTAGAAGTTAAGGGGATATCCCAGATATTCCATAAGGGGATATATCACATTTCGTTAAGGGGTATTTCATATGATTCATTATACATAGCATTTAAAACTTTTATTTGAAAATTCAAAAAACGTTTAAAGCAAATTGGAAACATTTTTCGAGGTTGTCCAAGATTATTAAAAATGATATAACCGGTTATATTTCAGAACACGCCACAGAAATAAAAGAATCCGAAGGGGGGGGGGGGCAAACAGACACAACTAAAATTTTGTCGCCTACCCAGTCACACGGGTCATGAGCCGCCACTGGTCTAGCTATTTCATGTTTAGGTTAAAAACTCTTTAGACTGTCCCCGTATAAATTTTAATAAAACATAATGAACTTTTTGTCTTTATTAAATGCAAACAAACGTCAGGCAGTGGGTAAGTCCAAATACATTAACTAAATCATGCGAGTATAATTATAAATTATTTATAGATGTCTTTATTTTTTAATTTAAAATTAATAAAAGTTAAAATCGTTTGAAATGACCGGGCATTATAGATCATTATAAACAAATACTTAATTACGATATAAATCAAAGTTATACTTTTACTGTTTTTAGGTTTAAAAATTTGTTGTATCATAATTATTCAATTAGTAATAAACAAATTTGCCGCATGCAACTGTTATGTTGTTTACAATCAATTTAACGTATTAAGCTTGTAGTAAGTATTGTTATGTTATGTTTTCGCCAAATATATTCTGCTGTAAACAATGGCAAATTGAACTTTTGCCGTGCACGGCTTAGAACTTTGAGACGGAAGACATATGACATATGGGTCAATTGGTTGTTATTGACAATCATTCTTTGATCTATCCGCTTTAAAATTGGAATTCCATGAAAAATTCTAGTAAATAACTAATTATTATGGTTTGTATACATCGTAAATCGCATTGTTTATATACTGATATTAATTTTTAAGAAAATAATTAAAACTTTCAGCATGACGTCATGACGTGATTTGATTCATTTATAAACTGGTTTTTGATATTTTTAGCAGAATTCTGATAATTCCAGTCATACATTTGAAATGACTGAAATACCATTTATATCTGACAAATTTATTTATAATCATTAACTAAACAAAATAAAAAACAATTTACCACAATACGAGGATTGTTTTTTTTTATATATTGACAATCTTCGTACACCAAAACACTTGACTTTTAATGCTGGATATGCGTTTCGCTAACCATGTTAGCATTACCAGCAGAAGATGGAAACTATTTTTACTAATTAGTTTTAATCATCTGCTAATGATGCTTAAATGGTTAGCGAAACACGCGTCTAAAAGTAAAGTGGTAAAAAAGTGGCGTCCTCGGTGGCGTCTTAAAGTTAAAAAAAATAAAAGTGGTTTTGCTAGTGTTTTCTTTGGCTGTTGTAATATAAAAGTTCCAATCTTAACTGTATTTATCATAGCCGAAATAATATATGTAAACGCATATCAAAAAAATTACTTACTTTATGCTGTGTGATCAATTCTGCCCATCCAACAATGAATTGAGGTTTCCTAAAGAACCAGAGCATAACTGAGAGGATAAATAACAATCCTACAGCTTTTTCGTGGAAAGACATAGGTCCCATCTCATCTAGCTTTCTGGAAATTACTTTTTTAGCTACTTGTTCTCCTTGAACTCCTACTCTGAAAAGTATTAAAAGTTTTATAGTTGAAAACATCACTATAGTTCAAGCAAAAATGCTTGAAAATATATAGTTTTATTTTTACTTTGCTTAATTTAGGTATACAAACCTAGAGCCTCTTATCTGTAATCTATACAGAGAGAGGTTGTGTGAATTCGTTAGATGGCACCCAATCATAGGAAAACAATCTACTTTTGAATTACAGTGATGGACCACTTGATTTAACTATATTTCTAATTTCTATACAAAAGATGTAGGTAAAATCTTTGTAATATAAAATGTAATGCTGTATACCGGGTGCGACTCAAAAGTGGCTCACCCCTATAACTTTTTTTCATTTTTTTAGACAAAAAAACAAGATTTGGTATGTTAGTATATGACATAAATTAGAATTGGTTGACGTATTCAATTGTTTTTGGTCATTTCCTCTTTCATCGGAAATGACTACAACTTTTGATTTTTAAATGGCACCCCCGGTATATTTTTACTTTATTCGATAGAAAATGACATTCTGAATAGAATGACATATCATATGTCAACTTTTGAAATTTTCGCTTAAAAAAGCGTATTTTAAATTTCAATCTAGAGTGCCATGGATGTGTTAAAACACTAATTTTTAATCAAAGAGCATTGAAAAAATAGATTTGATCATCGATGATTTTCGTGTCTTGTCCGGACCTGTTATAAGATGCCCAAACCGTATTTTTAATCGTATCTCGATTTTTCCAAATGGGGTTTGGCTTATTAGTATATTTGGAAAAAGCATTTTTTACAAATAATTTAGTACCACACACTTGGTATTTCGAATGAACCACATGTTACCGCATGCTTCAAATATCATTATGAACCGCATGTTACAATTTCAAATAAACCATATGCGAAAATGTCAAAAATTGACATATGATATGTCATTCTATTCAGAGTGTCATTTTCTATCGATTAATGTAAAAACATACTGAGGATGTCATTTCCGGTGAAACAGGAACTGACCAAATACAATTGAATACATCAATTAATTCTAATTTATGTCATATACTAACATACCAAATCTCGATTGTTGGTCTGAAAAAATAAAAAAGTTATAGCCAAAATAGTAAATATAGTATACTAAAGGTCGGCATTTCTGGTCTTGGGCGCCAACTTTCGTGTGTACGAAGAGTACAGTCAACACGCTTAGTAAAATAAGATGTACTGAATAAAGACAGAAGGCAACTATTTTTCCAAGCGCATGGAATCTAGCGGCAAATTAAGTGATTATGTAATAAATAGTTCGTATTTTTGCTCTATCCGACTTACTAGATTGCCATAGCGATTCACTCCTATACATGCAAACGCCGACCGAAGGTTTCTCTTGCCAGCAGGGTATACAGTTAAAGCCACTTTTGAGACGCACCCGGTATTTTTCCCATTGTGGATTTAGCTTAAAATTACTATTCCAAAAATCATAATGAAATAATGTATACTGAGATATTTTTGAAGCATGATCATTTTTAGTCAAAATATTCTTGCAATTTAAAGCTCATAATAACACGACAAAGACTACTGCGACATCATTTATTCAAATATGCGGTATTTCAAACACACTTTTATTACTAAAAATACGAATATTGCCTCGACCATATGCAGCTGAATAATTAAGAAATCGTTAGGGAAAACCACAGTTGCTAAATTTAATAATCTAACACAGTGTAATTATTTAAACTTAACTCTTAAATAAACTCAAATAATTTAAATATACAAATTAAATAGCTTAACTTCAATTTGTATTTGCAGTAATTACGTTTGTATGAATAAGTATGTACAGTGTGTAACATCCATAAAGATTTTAATACACTTATGTTATACAAGGTGTCCCAGAAATAAATGCAAGTATTTTAAGTGGTAGTATAGTTCAACCCCTGAAACACGCCTATGAGTTTTTTTTTCGCAAAAGGAAGTTTTTGAAAATTCAGAATTTTTTGAAAAAACTTTTGGAATTTTTTTTAGTTTTTAGTTAAAACACATAATTCCTTGATAATATGGCAACATAGGTAGTAGATTAAATTTACAAGAAAGAAAATCCAGAAAAGATCCAGTGGTTTTTAAAATTTGAGAAAAAATCATTTTTTCGAAAATTTTCAAAGTAAAATAACTTGGTTATTTTGGACTTATTTGAAAAACGATTGAAATAGACAATATGTTTCTTTTATCGAGATCTATAATACCACCCCTTAAAATACTTGCACTTATTTCTGGGACACCCTGTATAGCTCTTCTGTTGTAAGTATAAAATATGATATGGGTTAACTTCATAATAATACTCGTAATTGTAGACTAAAAAAGTTAATAGTAAAGTCGAACAAGAATGCGGACAAAAAAAACTTTAAATAAACAGCAATATATTTTATAAATCGTTCCCTATATAGAAGCGGCAAAGAGTCCACGTGGTTGTATGTCACCACAAAACACTCCGCTCATGCATTTATTTAGCTACAGTACGTCTGTCCGTTCTGTAGCTACGGGGTATCCGTGAGAGGGGAAACGATATTCTCTCGATGTTTTTCGTAAAAAAATAGACGACGCGTCCCATCAATAAAAATTCAACAAATTTGCAAGTAGCCAATAAAATGAGTGGGCGGAGCGATTTGCGGTGACGCACTCGACGTATAAAATAATAATATATTTTTGTTTATTTAAATGTTTTTTGTCCGCATTCCTTTCATAGACACAGATCCAGCAGATGTACTGTAACTTTTCCACGAATTATACTTCAAAATTTGCGAGAAATATCATTTTGGTCTTTGATTATCTTCCGTCAAGAGAAATGATGGTTAGAAATCAAAAGTTGATTGTTTTATTAGGCTTTCTTTATGGATACAACTGATTAACGCAAGCTGTTGCTAAGATATTCTATTAATTTTAATTTGTTTTTTAAATATTGTGAATGATTGTAAACTAAAAGTGTAGTTGAAACCACTAATTTATACCACTAATTGCGAGGTTCTGAATGAAGCATTACTCTCATAACAAGTAATCTTACATTAATACTTTAATCCATTCCAAGTTTTTTGACGAAATAAAGTGCAGCCTTAAATACATTTTATAAATTCCTTACTTGATTTTCTTGGCGTCTTCTGACTGGGGACGGAACAGGCCCATAAACCAGAATTGGAGCCAGGCAACGGTAAGGCACATCATAATCAACATTAGAGGAACATTTAGGAACATCCATCTTGCAAACTCCACGCCTGGACTCTCTTCAAACCGACTTTCGTAGATGCCTGAAAGATTATACAATTCCACATTCAAAGAATGTTAACTTGTGCCATGGCTATGCATATCGCAAGAGAAAATCTTTGTTGGCATTTTTTGAATAGAAATTGGTTGCCAGAAAACCAATTTTCAGCTTTAAGGATAATCTACTTACTATTAGTTCTTTTTCTTTAATATTTTTGTGCCTGCATAATAGGCATCATCTGCATAGCAAATATGAGGATATAGAATAATATGCAATAAATAGAATATATAGAGTCAAGGATAGAACCTTGTGGTACGCAATGGCTCATATATTTAAAATTGAACTTCTGATTGTTAAAAGAAACGCGGATGGATTATTTTTCACGACGATGCTGTACGTAAGCTGATCTAAGAAGATCGACATATCACATATATCGAAATTGAAGCATCAATTGACATTTCAATAACTTCAATTCCAAAAATTTTACATGAAGAATTGTCCGTAAAAATTCAATTTCTCGTTGGAAATAAGTTTCTCGCATCTTTGACGGAAGAACAAAAATCAATTAGAGTCAGTTGAATTGAATTCTGGATCAAATTTTGAATCCGGAAATGTCAATCGACTGTTTGGGTGTTCCGATATGAACCAAAATCGACAGAAGATGTCCGTCCTCGGAGTATTTTCAAAAATATTGTGGCGACATTTATCTCAAAAGCAGTCGTTGGTCCAAACCAAACAAAACCAAACCACAGCAAACTGTTATTGCTGATTGGTACATATATATTTATTTACCGGGAGTAATTGCTGAGTTTCGGAAAACCAATCCTCTACAGCTCGTTTCATATAGACGCGAATCGCGAATTGCGAAAAGCGATTCGCCAAAAAATATTCGCAAAATTTGGACCTATTTCATACAGTCGCGAATTTTTAGGGACATTTCATTTTTGCTCCACTGAAAGTTACCAAAAAAATCATAACCTGAGATAACTTAATTTTTTTATACATATTTATTCGTGTTTACGATCTTTATTTTATATTTTATAGCATACAATATGAGTTTAAATTTGTTTAATAATTATGAATATCGAATACGATTGTGGGATTGGAATAGAATAAGGTGCAAAATTGCCATTTATTTATTGTTAAAACGTAGAAGAGAACGGCTTTATAGCACAGGTTTATAGGTCATTTATGGACCATTTGGGACATGTAAAATATTCAAATTTCGTAAGCAACAAGGTGCTTGTTGCAATTTAATTCAAGAAATAAGGAAAAAAAATGAGAAAAAATTTAGGAATTTTCACAGATTGTCTTTATAGGAGTTTGATAACTTGGTTGAAGTCGAAAAATTGTCACCATATATATCAAAAACATATTATGCACGAGAACCAAAGGAGAACCCATTTCAACTGGAGAAATGCTTTCAGTTACTTTGCGGCAGCGTCGTCAAAATAATCGATAACCGGATCACAACACCATTCTGCACAAACGCGTACCTTAAAATCGCGCGAATATTCGCAAAAAGTTGAAAACACTTTAACTTTCCCGCCCACCAAATTTTAAATCTTGCGAATCGCCAAATCTTAAAATTTCTGACAGCGCCGCCATGATCAGTAAAATTGGACCAATGAGAGCAGTTTCTCAAAATCGCAATTCACGATTCGCGACTATATGAAACAAGCTTACGACGAATAATCCTCCACGAGTTTTTAAAGCAAGAAAACATCAGATTGTTAGACCACCCTCCATACAGTCCTGACCTGGGGTTTCCATAAAGGCTTTTGGAAATTCCGGAGAAGGTCAATATCTTTTTTATTTGAAAAAAATCTTAAATAGAAAAGTTTTAGGGTATGCTAGAAACGAAATGAAAAATGTAATTTTGTCACTCTATAATTTGTTTTAAAATAAATTGTTCTCAAATTCATTGGATTAAATTTATTATTAATTATAATTGTTAATTATTACATTATTACAGGGGACGAGCATGTGTACTATGAGTCTAAATTGATAGCCTATACATATATGTTTATTTACTTATCTGATATGGACAGCGGACAACCCAATTGAAATTTGTCATTGTTTCGAAAAAACTAGCGCCTCACCTTGTTCCGCGTTCCGCGAAACAGTTTCGTACAAAAGTTTTGAGGAACGATTTTGCAAAGCTGTGTAACCAGCTTTATACCGATTGTCATTGACACACAATAATTAATATCATCTATCCATAGGACGCAACCATTAACTACCACCTCGCTCATCTACTCTCTGGACAGGTTGTTTTCAGGCTTACTTGTACAGATTTAAACTGGAAGATACACCGGAATGCCTCTACTGTGGGAATTTTGATGACATACTTTTTTCCGGCAGAGCATACCCTTTTCCAAGCTTCCGATGGCAGGAACTACGCACTACCACAAAAGTGCAAATAGGAGAAAAGATTACCCCTGATAATCTCCTCAGGCTCATGCTGGCAAGCGAAAACCACTGGAAGCTTATCTCCGATATGGCGAAAAAATTAATCTCACAAAAAGAGAAGAACAGACTGGAGAGCAGGCAACGCACCTAAGACAAAAGCCAGGGGGTGAGAAGTAATACCTACCGGTAGTTCCTCTATCAATTGGCAGAACGTAACTAGAGGCGAGTTTTTAGTGGGTAAAAATCACACACTACCTGCCGTCAGACAGGTAGTGTCGGGAAGAAGTGTGTGTAGTGTGAAGGGAAAAATGTCAGGCAGACAGATTTCCCCCCCCCCTCAAAAAAAAAGGAAGAAAAAAATCCATAGCACGCAAATAGTAGCCCCGGAATCAACAAAATATAAACCAAACAAACATTCACTTTCCAGGTAAATGGTAAAATATTTGAACTAAGTTAAATTGTTTTTGCGATCAGGTTTCTCGGACGCTTTCCCAAATCCGGGCCGGACCGCACCGAGCACTTTAAAAATCCGGACGTATGGAAACCCTATCATGACCAAAGTACTAACGACTTTTTTCATTTTCCAAAAATTAATTAATTAATTACAACTGCTGCCCCCAAAAGATGCAGTCAACCAACGCAATTTTGAAGGTACCAACAAGCTAGTGGAATAACTGCTTTCAGAATTGGTTCCAATTCGTGGAGAATACATCGAAAAATAATACTGTTTTAAAATTCATCTACTGTTTTTTTTTCTACTTCTATAGGCAAAATATAAAAGACAAGCCTTGTATTGCATCAATTTCTTACCTTTAAAGGTGAGATTCGTGCCGCTACCAATCAGACACCCATTTCCACCGATACAGGCAGCGTAAGCAGTGGACAGGAAGTAGCACATGGTCTGCTTGGTCGGCCTCTTCTCGATCTCCTCGCCCTCTTCTTCCCGGTCTGGAGCCTTCATCGGACTACAACAAGAAACAAGGCATTGCGTTGAATTGATTCGTTTCTCTGCCACAGCCGACAACAATCAACCTTTTTTCGGACTGGTTCGCTGCGTCCGCGAAGGGGTTCTCGTACATCTCGCCGATGCCCTGCTCCTCCAGCTCCTTGAGGGTGGCCTGGACGATGGGCACCATCATGGCGGTGGCCGCCGTGTTGGAGATCCACATGGAGACGAACATGGTGACGGTGACCAGGCCTAGGTTCAGTTTTCTCGGGCTGCAGCCGACCTACAAAGAAAAGAAAACAAAACTGAGTACCCCGTCTCCAACTAATTTGTAGATTATAGATTGTAAGGGGGTGGGGAAGTTAATTTACATCATACAGTCTAAGGGCACTGACAAAAGCCAATATTTCAAATGATTCTACAGATGTTAGTTCTCCATTTTCGATATCTGTCGTACCAAACTTTATAGCACGAATGGTTGTCGTCTCGGCGCACTCAATGATGAGTTGTCCTGGTGTTACTCCATTCCCATTGAATCTGCATTCGCCGTTGTGTCTTAGTTTCAATCTACTGAGGTATTCATTAAGACAACAGTATTCTGTTAAAAACCCCGTGACAATCTGACAATTGTTCTTACTTAAACCTAGGAAAATCTTTGATTTTTTCGGTCGTGAGTTCTGAGAAATTTCTTCGAGTGTCTTAGACAGTTGGAAGATTTCCATTTCAGATTACGGATGGAGTCTTCCAGTTTCTTGTGTTCTACTTTAAGTTGGTTTTCAATTGGGAAGTAGAACGGTTCTGGTTCAGCTCGTGGATCTAGCTAGAAAAGGATTTCTAGTTAGATCGTTTTTTTTATTACCTTCTTGGTGGGCTGGTACTTCGCTTTTGTTCTAGCTAAATTATTTGATTTTTCATCACCCTCTATCTTTTGGTGGGCTAGCATCAATCAGGTTAGGAAGATCCTCAACTGAATTAGTAAAGCAGTGGATTTGTTCATTATTGCAGAACTTTTTGCATCAATGTTCATTTCTTCCATCCGAAGAAATTAAACTCGAAAGCCGGTATAGAGCTTGATATTAATTAAACTATGTAAATGGATGAAATTGAGGTTAATATAACATGATAGGTCATGTCAAGTAGACTGCACGTAAAGGGCACTGCTATTAATCATTACTCTGATATTTAAAGTAAAACATATACAGGGTCCGGTAATAGTGCGTCGTGTATCTAGAATAAAAAACTTGAAAATTTTGTTTAAGTGTAAACCTAAAGTATGTACGAAGATATGTTTCAGGAAAATATTTTAAGTTCTACAGGGTGGTCCGAACTGTATTCCGGAAACTTCGGGAGCATATTCTGCAGATAAAAAGAAGTAAAAAATTTCTTATAAATGTATGTCCTAAAATGCTTAGTTTCGGAGATACAGGGTGTAGAAGTTTCATTTTTATTTCGATTTTTTCCAAATAATTTCTGAAGTAACGTCAATATTTGGATGAAAATTGGTGTCTGATAGTTTTTTGACATGAGAAATTTGATTTTGATGTCATTATGACTCCTATTTGTAGAGGGCGCCACCTACATGTATTTTAACTGTTTTGAAGAGTAATAACTTTTTGTCCGTACCTGTATAGAACTGCTGAGTGAAAAAATATACATTTCTGTATTTTTTTTTAAATCGTTACAAGCAACCCTTCTCAAGATATTTAGAATGGAAATAGTCAATACATGTCATTATTGACAAAAAATAAACATGTTGAGCAGATAGTTATTGAACTAAAAAGATAAATTTGGAAATTTTTTATTTTTTTTAAATTAATCATAAAATTTTCTGCGAAAAAATTATTATTGGTGATGATTTGGCACAAAAACATTTCAAATTTATGATTGCCGTCTTGTAACTATTTAGTCAACATGTTTAATTTATGTCAATGATGACAGGTATTGATAATTTCGATTTCAAATATCTCGAGAACTATTACTCGTAGCGATTTTTATTAAGAGATCTTTTTTACGTTAAAAACGTCGTAAATGTATATTTTTTTACTTAGTAGTTTTATACAGGTAAGGACAAAAAAGTTATTATTCTTCAAACGAGTTAAAAATATGTAGGTGGTGCCCTCTACAAGTAGGAGCCATATTGACATCAAAATCGAATTTCTCATATCAAAAAACTCCCAGACAACAAATTCCATCCAAATATTGATGTTACTTCAGAACTTATTTGGAAAAAATTGAAATAAAAATGAAACTTTTACACCCTGTATCTCTGAAACTAAGCATTTTAGGACATACATTTATAGGAACTTTTTTACTTATTTTTATCTGCAGAATATGCTGCTGAAGTTTCCGGAATACAGTTCGGACCACCCTGTATAGGGTAGGGTAGCTCAAAAAAGTGAGTCTCGGTGTGAGTTGATCGGGATTATTTTTTCAAATGGAACACGCTGTATATTATTGCATTATTGGCTTCGTTTCAGATCACTTTACATAATACTAAGATACAAGTAAATATATTTCGGTAATTTCAGAGATATTAATAAATAAATAAAATATATAATTTTTCAATCTTCCTTAAAAAAATAATTAGAAATACAAGATCTGTCCTGAAATAAAAACCCTATCAGGTATTTAGATGGTCTATACTTACTGACCCTGTACACATAAAGCACAAAATTATTATGTACATATTATATATCTTAAAATTAACTCAAAAGACCCAAAGATTCCGTATGATCGAAAAAAACGGCGTCAACGGCAGCTGGGAATAACAATCGATGATAATTTTGGAGAGGTCAAATTGACATAAAATTTGTCAACAATTAACACTAATTAAAGAGAGATTAAAAAAAAGATAAAATCCCCTTTCCGGATACACAAATCTATTTTCTTTTTTTTTCTCGAATTTTAAACTACACCATTTAAAATCATTTTTACTCAATACTAAAATAAATTACACTCTTCTTAAGGCCAACTGGCAGTAAGCGCCTTAAAAACATAAAGAAAAGTACGGGCCAAGTAAATGACGTTTAGGGCTTGACCTCGCCAAAATTATCATCGATTATCCATCTCCAGCTGTCTTTGACGCCGTTTTGTCGATCGTATTGTATAAAAAGATTTCACGAAATAATACAAGGTTGTTCACCACATACGACGCGGGGTATTGTAGCTAAACTATTTAATTTTTACAAATTGTAAGTTTTGGGTTTGTTGAAGGACTACAGATCAGAGCTACAATTTAAAAATATTTTTACAAGATACAGAGTGTACCAAATAAATAAAAAATATCAAAGTTGTATTTTTTTAAATGGAACACCCTATATATTATTACATTTTTAGTTTCTACGATTAAAATAAAGGTAAATTTGATTAAGGTTTGCCGCATTTTAATCTTACCGTTTTTGAAATATTTAGGTTTTTGTCAAAATACAGTAATAATTATAATGCTTTATTTCTCTAGGCGTATTTAAGTTTTTAAAACCAAATATTGTATTGAAGTATTTCTATTTACTAAATTTTGTGTTGCAATCATAAAAATTATACTATCTTATACAGAGTGTCTAAAAATTTATTTTAAATAATAACTAGTTTTTAAACGGCGATAACTTCTTTAATTTAAATGGAACACCCTGTATATTTTATGAGAATCAGATGCACGATTTAATTGTCTATCAAATTATATTATATCATTTTTTACCTATGTCTTCAGGTTTTCGTAGAAAATGCATTTTCTTATAATTTAGACCTCAATTATCAATATACCCATGGAATATTGACATTTTAGATTATTTTTAAAGATGTAACAAACTGTTAAAGGGTACAGATACCAATATTGTCGATATAGTTCGTTTATGTCATTATAAAATTAAAAAAAATGTTTAAATATTTGTAGAAAGAACCAACTAATATGATTCCAGTATTCAAACTACATTAATGGACTGCTTGCATTGATTAATAATAATTGCTCCAAATACTAAAAACTGAATTTTGTATGTATATTAGACAGTGTGGTAAAAAGTAACACCTTAAAAATTTTATTTCATTTTTTGACGAATGCTCATTTATAACAACAGAGATGTTCATTTTCATAACTTATTATTATATTGATTTCGGATTCCAAATCCCCATTTATTTAGAATAATTTATTAACTAACACAATTAAATATGTTATTAATTAATATTTGGACGGAAATACTGGTGGTATATTTAATTAATGGTACAGTCTTTTATAAAGATTAAAAAAAAAGAAATAGTTTTATTTCTGTATACAAATAGGCTGGTAATATTATCATTTTTAGCACCTGTACATTTTGTACATTTTGTTGTTTTAAAAACAGTCTAAAATGTCAATATTCCATGGGTATGTTGATAAATGAGGTCTTAATTATTAAAAAACGTATTTTCTACGAAAACTTGAAGAGATAGGTAAAAAATGGTATAATAAAATTTGATGGACAATTAAATTGTGCATCTGATTCTCCTAAAATATACAGGGTGTTCCATTTAAATTAAACAAGTTATTGCCGTTTAAAGCTAGAAATTATTTAAAATAAATTTTTAGACACTCTGTATGAAGTAGTATTACTTTTATTATTGCAACACAATAACTAATCAATAATTAAACTTCAGTAAATATTTAGTATTAAAAATTTTGATAGCCTTGGAGAAATGAAGCCTTGAAATTTTTACTGCAATTTCACAAAATTGAAAATATTTCAAAAACGGTAAGGTTTAAGGGTGATAAACCTTAATCAAATTTACTTTTATTTTAATCATAGAAACTAAAAATGTAATAATATACTGGGTGTTCGATTTAAAAAAATACAACTTTGATATTTTTTATTGATTTGGGACACTCTGTATGTTGTAAAAATATTTTTAAATTGTAGCTCTAATAGTCCTTCAACCAACCCAAAACTTACAATTTGTAAAAATCTAATCGTTTAGCTACAATACTCCGTGTCGTATGTGGTGAACAACCCTGTATAATGTCTTTTGACTTACCATTTTGATTACGTGTAGTGCTACCCTTCTATGCAAATGGCAATGTTGCACAGCTATGGCGATCACTAGACCACCTATGAACATCATATTTGTCTCCTTTAAGTAACACAAAGACACTTTATCTGAATCCAGAACACCCATTAACGGAAACAAAACCATGGGTATCATCGATGTAACTGGCAGAGGTAATGCTTCGAAAACCCTGGACAAAGAAAGTTCAATATATTAATATTAGTTAAATCTTGAATGATAACAAACCCTTAATAGGTCATAGTTTGCTATTGGGAGTATTAGAAATAAATATTGCTAAATCTACTCACCAATAACCAGCCATGAGGAGGACTACATATAGACATCGTAAAGATGCTACGTTATCGAAAATAAATACAGGAACAAGTACCAAGGGCCATATGATGACAAAAAGAGTTTTCCAGTACACTTTGATGGCGTTGATCAAGAGACTGCGGCTTTTTGCCATGGTGACGGTGATATCTGCCAAAGATTTCACTGAAACAAATGAAAAAAGGAAACTTTAAAACCGCGAACCAAAAAATTGTTTTTTAAATATGAAAGATACTCAAATATACTACAAAAAAATACTTTTACTGGCACAGATTTGACATATTCGTATTATAAAAACAGAAAAATTGTCTATTAGTAAGTAATCAAATCAAACAATAAAACTTTTTAATATTATGATGAGAAAAACCACACGATTAAAAAACGACGTTACAGTTGCCTTTAAAATGACAAAGTAATACGAAAATAATACGAAAACGGAAAGATGTAGGAACTATTTTACGGGTATATATGGGAAGGGAATGTGCATAATTTAAAAATTATTTTGAAATGTACAGAGTGTGTCAGAACTAAGATCCATATCAAAGTTATAGTTTATCTTATTGAACACCCGGTACCTATTTTATTTCATTTTTGCATTTTTGGACCAAAAATAAGGCATTTATAATAAAGATTAAATACGTTTACAACCTTTAGTTTTTGAGATATTTAAAGATATTAATAATAACAATAGCTCCCGTATACAGGGTGATTCAGATTTTACTAGAATAACTTCAGGTATCGATAGGACTAACCGAAATTATGATAGTTTGTATTATAAACCATACTCCAAAAACGCTTCCGCTTTGAGTAAAATGGCACTAAAATTTGAATTATTTTTCGGTTTTTATTTTATTACTCGTAACCCAGAGGATCTAAATATGCAAGTGTTTGGTTAAATGCAAAGGGTAACGTGGCTGATATGTGTGAAAAAAAATGGATTAATTGCTATACAGGGTGTTGTTTTTGTGAGTGTCAACTGCACGGAACCATGTAGAACTTTTTTGTCGCACGCTACTGGATAAATTTGTATTTTTTTCTTATACCTTCCGTCTTTTTACTAAGTTTTCTTGTTTTTAAATTTTTTTGATATGTCGCTTAGTTTTCGAGAGTTTCCACAACATAGTTCAGCTGCTTTCGAAAAATGTTACTTAATTAGCAGCATACCTTGGAGAACTTAATTTAAATTTTGGCGCCATTTTACTCCAATCGGAAGCGTTTTTGAAGTATGGTTTATAATACAAACTATCTTTATTTCGGTTAGTTCTATCGATACCTGAAGTTATTCTAGTAAAATCTGAATCACCCTGTATATAGCGTTTAAAGCCTTGGGAGTAGCAAGGTACAGCTTGCCATGCTAGAGCCGTTCGGTATACAAGGAAGGTAATGTGGCTACGCTTCAAACGTACGCTTTTGGGGTGTCCAAAATTGCTGGCCTATTTTTAATATACACCCTCTATTTTTTTTAAATAAATAGAAGCAGATTTAAATGATGTTTCAAACTATATTAGGGTTTTTTTATACCTATCTGGCTCAGATTTTAAATAAAAAGCGATTTTTCAATAAAATGGCAATGAAGATGGCTGGTGTCGCCATGGCAATTTTCTAGTGACAGTAGATATTTTCAAAATCGACATTAGTTTATGGACTTTATTTAAATTTATAACAGTTTACTTTTATTTAATTTACCTACCAATAGTTTAATAAGTAAATATTTATTATTTTATCAAGAAAAATAAAGCAGTATCTGCTGGCGGAAGGAATGAATGTGTTACTAGTGTAAAACTTGGAAAATAAGTTGGTTATAATAATGGTTTTATAATTCGGAAACTCTCTATTTATTTATCTAGTAATGCTAAAACACTCTATTTGAAAGTCGATTAGAGAAAATAGTATGATTCATTGGCAAGTAATGTAAATATTTACGATCCGGTAAAATTGTGATGTAAGAGGAGGCTTAGCTTGCCTGCGGCAGGTCAGTAGTAGATAGGCCGGCCGGCTGTTGTGTTGTGTTTTGTCATAGAGCTGATATTTGGGGGTTGAAAGTCTTTTGTACTGTAAGGCAACGGGTCGTTTGACCAGAAGAAAACCTCTTGTGACGTCTTGCGTTCGAGGTTGGTCTTGAGAGTTTGAGCTCTCCCTTGTCTTCTCGATTGACACGATGCGGCGTTGGGGTAGAGAGACTAGTGAGGTACCCCAATTAACCTATTCGATTGGGATGCGAATCTGTTTAGCAGCAGAATTGCGTCCGGGGAAGCCCCTATACTATTTCAGGCGACACTAGTTAGTTGTTGAAGATGATTAACCAATATATAACCGAATGATATTTGAATTAGATGGAAAATATGGAATGGGATATATTGAATAGAATATATCAGTGGCTAGGGGGCGGAGTACCCCTGGGTGAGTCTTACTATTTAACTATCAATTTTATCCAGATCAGTAAATGTTTGTTTTGTTATTTTCATGTACAATGAGAGAGTGCTTGCCAATGACCAACTAAATGGATATTTGAGGTGAATTTGCATTGTGAGACCCGGTTGAGTAAGCCCCAAAAAATAGCGATTTTACACTAGTGATTTTATTTTGTAAGGAAAATTGCTTGTTGGCCTGAAGGGTTTATGCTCAAAGATATCCAAATAGGAACTTCCCTCATAAGCGTTCCTTTGAAAAAATACTTTTCCTATTTCAAAAAAGTTTCAAGACCTGTTAGTGTGGTATATGAAAAACATATTAGGCAGAACCTGTCGTTGGAAATGAAGAAAATAAATTTACCATCATTGGCTCTTTTATAGAAAATCCAATATATCTACAAATCATTGTAATATAAATCAAATAAATATTTCTTAGTTTTTCTTGATAAAATAATAAATACTTATTTATTAAACTATTGTAGGTATTTTAAATAAAAGGAAACTGCTGTAAATTTAAATGTAATCCATAAAATAATTTCGATTTTGAAAATAACTACTAATTGTCACTAGAAAATTTATTGAAAATCGCTCTTTATTCAAAATCTGAGCCAAATAGGTATAAGAAACCCTAATGTAGTTTGAAAGAGGATTTAAATATGCTTGGACTTATTTTAAAATATAGAGAGTGTTGCATTAAAAATAGCAAAGTTTTTATATAGAATAAATATTTAAAATAGACCAGCAATTTTTGGTACCCCTGTATACATTTAAAGAAGCAATCAAAATTTTCAGTAAAGTTTATTTCTCTACCTTTAAACTCCGCACAAGAATTAATTCGGAAAAGTAATGTACAGGGTGTTCATAATCTTTTCTATTATAGCATGCGTATTTAAACATGTTTAAATATCTCAAAAACCAAAGTTTTTAAACATATTTAACCCTTATAATAAATACCTTTTTTAAGGTACAAAAAACCAAAAATGAAATAAAATACCGGGTGTTCCATAAGAAAAAATATAACTTTGGTATGGATCTACATTGGTACATTCCAAAATAGTTTTAAATTATGTACCATTGCCTCTCTACATATAGCCATAAAAAATTGTTTCTACATCTTTTCGTTTTCGTATAATCAACCGAGGCGAATGAGGTGCGCCACCCTGTATCAGTTAATACCATAAAATATATTACACGCATGTTAACTAATTTATTATTTAACAAGTTTAAGATAAATGACCCAAGGCAAATTGCTCGTACATTAATTATCTTAATTGCCAATGTTTTAACAAAACAAATCAGTTTCTAACAGCGTTCCTGCATAATCTACTATACCAAACCGCAAAAAAATCTTTAAAATGCATATGCTATGTATCGATTTTGAACCGCTTTGTTCTATTACGAAAACAAGCCGATTGTTTTTTTATCACAATAATTTTGATTTTTACCTAAGCTTTACCATTGTTTAAATAATCATTGTTCTAGAATAATATTACTCAATAAGCTACTGGTACCTACCGGACGCCAAAATATAGCCCAGATTGCAATTTTCTTTGCAAAAAACGTAATAATTTTGTGATAATCCCGGTATAATGCAGGTTAATCAATAATACTAAATGAAATATACACTGAACTTTTTTCACTATTCAGGTTCATGGATTATCAATGACTTTTAGAACACATTGTATCTCAGGATAGATATAGCTTACGATATGTTTACCCATGTATACAGGGTGAGCCAGTAGTGATCCGAAAAGGCTTCATATCATCGGGTTGCCTAAAATTGCCCTTTAGGGTCATATCTAACCATTTTCCGGGGCTTTACGAAAAAAAGTTTCAGGACCTTTTTTCTAGCCATCGACCTAATCTTCTATTGGCGACTATTTTCTAACAAATCATATGTTTTGTTTAAAAAAAGAATCGAACATTATTCAATAAATATCGATTTTATTAGTAGCAAGGAAGTAACCTAAATAAGTTAGAAGAAGTAATAAAAATAATAAAATAATAAATTGAGAATGACTTAAAGAATACATATTCTAAGATAGATTTCAATGTTCTATATCCGCACCTAATAAATACATTTTTCAACACGCGTAGCACTTTCTCCACTAGGTATTTTATCCTACAAAAGATCTCGGGTAACATAGCTTACATAATGTTATAATTTGTCAATATTAACTTATTAACTAACAACTTAATTATTTATACATTCATTAAAATTAAATTTATCAAGTAATTATCATTTGATTAATATGAACTCTTTATTATGTACTTACTTTTTGTAAACCCACTGTAAACAGTATAGAAATATTTTAGTGCCCAAAAAATTTCCTAACTATAAATAACTAAAACTGAATTTTTCAAAATTAGATTTTAGAAACTATAAACAAAAACAGTTGCAAAATTAATAAAATTAGTCGTCACCATTTACGAACACTGAATCTTTTTTGACGTTATCCTGACTATAATGTTGAAATGTTGACCAATTTCAAGATAACTAAGTATCCACCGCTCTGTTATTATTATTCAACTAACTGAAAACCACCTTCAACGACAGCCTTTGAAATACTCGTACATTATCAAATTAATATGATAACTGTTTAACAGAAGTTTCCATACACCTGCATGTTTCCAGTTTGTTACGCTGAATATACAGGGTGGTCCGAACTGTATTCAGGAAACTTCGGTAGCATATTCTGCAGATAAAAATAAATAATAAAGTTCGTATAAATGTATGTCTTAAAATGCTTAGTT